TTTTTTTTAGCTGCCTTTTAAATGTTAGAATGGGCCCCTTGCACCAGGATGCTGATATTTAGGGGTCCATGGCCTCTGAGTTTGTTCAATCTTGTAATGTCTGATTGAAGATGATGCAGATGTGAGTCTCAGGGATGCACAGATGTTCTGAAGCTCTGAATGTGTTTGAGGAACACCAGCTGTCACAAACAATCTGTTCATATGGGTTTCTTTTGTAGCTCATTAACAGAAAAGCACTGTAGTATTACTAATTAATGTCACACTTTGTATAGCACTGACTATCTTATGCTATGCCCTGTTTGTTATTCTATTTTCATTAAAAAAAAACAACCTCTGAACACGAGTCAGTCGTGCAAAGCGTGCTGAATTTTAACCTGAATTAAAACCTTAATTTTGAATTTTAAAATTAAAACCATTGTTTTATGATCAATCCAAAGCAATTTTTTAATGAAATTTTAAATGTTGTGACACTGTATTACTCAATTATTTACTAAATAGCACTTCATAGTTTTTTAACTAAAAACTTCTTCTGATCAATACAAAGCAAAGATTTTAAAGAGATTACATTTTCTGACATCGATATAAAATAAGTTTTTTTTTTACATTTTATAAGTTTTAACTTTTGTTTTTAACAAGTTTAAATAAAAAAAATATATATAAATATAATGATTATTTCAAAGCAAAGTGTTAAAGTGTTAAAGTGAGATTAAATATGACCAGTTTATAACATTTTATAACAGTTTTAACCCTTGTAAACGTTTATTTTTAATGAAAGAGTATAATTGTAAACTTTTTTTGAGCAATCCAAAGCAAAGATATTAATAAGAGATGAAATATTCTGACACATTTTCCTAAATCAACCTTGAGGTTCCATTTGGTTGTTTTCAGCGTAAGCCTGTGTGCAAAGCCTGTCTATTTCTAAACTTTAAAATACATTTATTTTTAGTTGTTTTAACTACAAATTTAAATAAAACTGAAAAAATTATGAAAAGGCGATTATGCGTTTACACACCTAAAATACATATATCACGAGCATGCTCACAGATGAGAACAAAACAGCGCTGGATGAAGTGGATTAGAGCCCTGCACGGCTCTCAGATAGAGGCCCGAGCCCGTCTTTTCCCCTTTTCCCAAAAACAGCTTATACTACTGTTTCAGCTGTTAAAATAGTTCAGTTGTGTATGTAATGGAAAAGTGATTATATTTCGTAAGTAAATTTAGAATTAATTTTTTGTTCGTTAAATGTAAGTTATTTAGTTGTTTTAAGTAAAGGCCAGCGGCAGACAGTGAGCTGATCATAGCCTATAGCCTATGCTTGATCAGTTTAGCCTTCTCAGATCATCAGGGCTTGCCTAAAATAACATCTATATATAAAACAGTTCAAGTATATCACAATGTTAGTTTAAATGTTTAACCTAGATAAATGTGCGTATCCAAGCGCTCGTGCAGAGAGCTGAAGCTGAAGCTCTGCGGGACACGGAGGCGCCAGCGCCATCACTGATCAATCCAAAGCAATTTTTTAATGAAATGTTAAATGCTGTGACACTGCATTACTCAATTATTTACTAAATAGCACTTCATAGTTTTTTAACTAAAAACTTCTTCTGATCAATACAAAGCAAAGATTTTAAAGAGATTACATTTTCTGACATCGATATAAAATAAGGTTTTTTTTTACATTTTATAAGTTTTAACTTTTGTTTTTAACAAGTTTAAATTAAAAAATATATATATAAATATAATGATTATTTCAAAGCAAAGTGTTAAAGTGTTAAAGTGAGATTAAATATGACCAGTTTATAACATTTTATAACAGTTTTAACCCTTGTAAACGTTTATTTTTAATGAAAGAGTATAATTGTAAACTTTTTTTGAGCAATCCAAAGCAAAGATATTAATAAGAGATGAAATATTCTGACACATTTTCCTAAATCAACCTTGAGGTTCCATTTGGTTGTTTTCAGCGTAAGCCTGTGTGCAAAGCCTGTCTATTTCTAAACTTTAAAATACATTTATTTTTAGTTGTTTTAACTACAAATTTAAATAAAACTGAAAAAATTATGAAAAGGCGATTATGCGTTTACACACCTAAAATACATATATCACGAGCATGCTCACAGATGAGAACAAAACAGCGCTGGATGAAGTGGATTAGAGCCCTGCACGGCTCTCAGATAGAGGCCCGAGCCCGTCTTTTCCCCTTTTCCCAAAAACAGCTTATACTACTGTTTCAGCTGTTAAAATAGTTCAGTTGTGTATGTAATGGAAAAGTGATTATATTTCGTAAGTAAATTTAGAATTAATTTTTTGTTCGTTAAATGTAAGTTATTTAGTTGTTTTAAGTAAAGGCCAGCGGCAGACAGTGAGCTGATCATAGCCTATAGCCTATGCTTGATCAGTTTAGCCTTCTCAGATCATCAGGGCTTGCCTAAAATAACATCTATATATAAAACAGTTCAAGTATATCACAATGTTAGTTTAAATGTTTAACCTAGATAAATGTGCGTATCCAAGCGCTCGTGCAGAGAGCTGAAGCTGAAGCTCTGCGGGACACGGAGGCGCCAGCGCCATCACTTGTGTTTCTTTCTAACAGTGGAAACAACTTAAAATACACAGTCATTATTGCTCATAAAGGTAAGAGTAATACATCATTCTAAACTGTAAAGGTTTTATTTGTGTGCACTCACAACATCAACAAAACGTTGTGCTATTCTCAAATAAAGAAAACAAATGCTTTCTGCCGTCTCGGTCTTGAACAGGAGCGCTTCACAGTGATGAACCTAAACTCAGACATGATCGAAATATATAGAAAGCTTTAAATTACTGCTTTAAAACGAAATAATTCAAATCGAAAATAGACTCCTAATAAAATAAACTCTTTCATTATGTAATCCCTGCATTTCTCTAAAGGCACATCCAATTAGGAGATGGCCAGTCACGTTTTCATCACTATAATTGATGGAAGGCCCGATTATAATTTGCGTTTTATTTTATAATTCCGTACAGTTAAAAAATAAAACACTAATTATAATGGCATATATGTAAAACTTTGTCCTATAATTGTATAGCTGCTTTTTCAGATTTTTATGTTGCTGTTCTGAATATCTTAAAATTTAAAGAATTTCCTGCAACGCAATTTTATATTTATATATTTTTATCCATGCAGCAAATGCTTTAAAAAACAGCTTTAAAATTACTTTATTGCATTCCAGATGCTTTTAAAGTACTTTTCACTATACATTTTACGGGTAGCTGGAATGTAAACATTGTCATGCAGAAATTGACTTTGGCATGCAAAAGACTGCATTATTTCAACTGATTCTTCTAGACCAGTGATGGGCAAACTTGGCCCTTCCAGGCCACTTTCCTGCAGAGATTTGATCCAACCCTGATAAAACTCACCTGCCTGTAGCCTTCTAGTAGTCTTGACTTCTAGTAGTTTTATCAGGGTTGGATCAAATCTCTGCAGGAAAGTGGCCTGGAAGGGCCAAGTTTGCCCATCACTGGTCTAGAAGAATCAGTTGAAATAATGCAGGCCGTCGTTGAACCACCTCGTCGCTCACAGCCGGTCTGTGGAGAAAACCAATGGGATTTTTACTTCTAGAAGCGATTGCTGAGCTCTGTTGAATTCGAGCAGTTTACTCCGTTGTTGTGTTCTTACTCGCGTCTTCACCACGGTGAATCACTGTAGCTCAGTCTGACTGCTTGTAACGTATGAAGGGATGAGTGGATGCGTGCGATCCAGGCCGTGGCCAATGCGCTGCAGACGAACCAATGGAGATCAAGTACAGCTCTCCCGGTGACGTCTGCGGTCTGGAGGACATGGAGGTGTCTCTGTCCAAATCCAGCTCCAGAGTGGTGTGTCTGCAGGTTACTGTACGAGTGTAGAGATCAGTCATTGGTTTGCACTGATGATGATGATGATGATGATGATGATGGTTTGTGCTCTCAGACGATGAATGACTTCGATTACCTGAAGCTGCTGGGTAAAGGCACGTTTGGGAAGGTGATTCTGGTGCGAGAGAAAGCCTCGGGGGTGTACTGCGCCATGAAGATCCTGCGGAAGGAAGTCATCATCGCTAAGGTGACAGACTCTTTACTAACCAACCCGTGACTAGGAGTAGGTGAGTTAAGTCAAAGACAGAATATATACCCAGAGAGTTATTGAAATGAGTTTGGAAGCTGGTTTTGGTTTTGTCATTTATATTCATGCATTCATTTAATCAGAGACGATACACATTAATAGTACACCGAATTATTGAAAAATGTGCCAGATTTAGCCAGGGTTGCATACTTTCAGCTGTAGTCCCAGGGAAGGTAAGCGAAACATAAAAAGTACATAAATTGAATATTTTTAACACTGAAATCCCTATAAATGTTCACAATATAATGTTTTTTGTTTTTTTCGAATTAGGTTTTAGTTTTATACAGTCAGTTTTCATGTGAATTTTAGTTACATTTTTAGTAATTGTGTTATGTGCTTTTGTCATTTTTAGTATTTTTTTTGTCTCTTTTAATATTAATATTTAAGTTTAATTTATTTTTAGTTCATTTTTAGAATATTTTCCCCGTTATATTTATATACTATATTTCACAAGTTTTTCATCTAATATTTTATTTTAGTAAATAAAATATTTCTAATAATAAGTTTGTTTGTAAATGTCTTCCTGTACACTCTTAAAAATAAAGCTGCTTCAAAAGGTTCTTCAAGCGATGCCATAGAAGAACCATTTTTAGTTCCACAATGAGTAACACTGCTGTGGTGTGTGTGTGTGTGTGTTTCAGGGCCGTACGGACACACGGTGAAGCAGTATTCTCCATCAGGGAAGCTGCTGCAGGTTCTGGGATCTCTTGGGAAAGCTGGATCTTCTCTCAGTCCACTCCAGTGATCCGCTTTATGATGATTTTAGCCTTCACTAATAACTGTAGTGTTGTTTTAGTATCATTGAGATACTATTATAGTTTACTATTATAGTAATATAGTATATATATTATGCTATTATAGTAATTTAGTTGTGTTTTTTTTATTAGTTTTAGCTTTTTAATATAATTTGTATTCATTTTTGTTTTAATTATTTTAGTGCATCAACTTAAACTAAATGAAAATGAGAAATGTTGCCTTGGCAACTTGCTCAAATATTTTTTTTTTATTTCAGTAAGCATTTATGCACACTTGTGGTTTCAAATAAATACAGAATACATTTTAATTGAAAATCAGATTTGTATGTGAAAACATTCATGCACAGATGAGTGTGATGCATTGGTGTGTGTCAGATCTGCAGGTGCTGTGGATGCACGGAGAGAGAGGACAGGGACTCGCTCAGTTCTACCTCCTCACAGTGGGGCGGTCGACAGCTACCAGAGGGTTTGTGTCAGTCCTCATCCTCACTTCTGTTTCTGAATGACGTCAACATGAAAATGTGCTCATCCTCAGATCATCCGAGATTATGATGAGTTTGTGTCTTCATCAGGTTTGGAGAAATGTAGTATTGCATCAGTGTCTCAGCAATGGATGCTCTGCAGTGAGTCAGTGTTCTGGTGTGAATCAGGAGAGAAATCTGCACAGATCAAGCAGCGTTTAAACAGCTCTAAACACATATGTGGCTGGATTTTGATGTGAGAGACAACAGGAGATGCACTTTTTCACTGGAGGAAGCGTTATTATGGATTATGGACTCTATGTATTTGAGTTAAAAGCGTCTTAATGCTGATTAGTTTCAGCTTTTGTCTTCTCCAGATGTTAACTGCTGGACTGGAGTGCTGTGGATTATTGTGATGTTTTTATCAGCTCTCATTCTGACGGCACCCATTCACTTGCAGTAAGACACTGATGCAATGCTACATTTCTCCAAACCTGATGAAGAAACAAACTCATTCTAATCTCAGGTGACCTGTGGACAAACACATTTCAGCAAATTGGGTGAACTATGCCTTTAAGATCCTGTTTGACAGCATTGCAGCAGGTTGTGAATGTAGTTTCATGTTGACTGATTATTCCTCCTCTCGTGCTCATGTGTCCAGCTGGCCGAGGACTTCAAGCCGCACCTGGTGGATGTGGATCAGAAGAGCGCGGCGCTGTATGTGGCGGAAATCGGGGCCAATCAGGCGCAGTGTGTTTAGATGATGTTCAGAGTCCAGCGTCAGAGAAATCAAACATCCAGCACTGATTATAACGGCTTAAAGGAAAAGCTGAAAGCGGTTTGATTTGAGGTTGAAACTGTGAGCAGCACTAATTAATATTTGTGACCCTGTAGCACAAAACCAGTCATAAGGGTCAATTTTGTGAAATTGAGATTTATACATCATTTGAAAGCTGAATAAATAATCATTCCTCAGGTGTGGGTCGCAGACAGAGGAAACAAGCGCATCCAGGTGTTTAACTTGGTGACGGGTGACTGGCTCGGCTCGTGGGGCAGCTGTTTTAAAGTGGACGCACCGTACTCCGTCAGGTACTAACCCACTGCTTCTGCAGGCCGTATTGCAGATGTTTGAGCTGTAATAATAATAATGTGTGTTTGTGACCTGCAGACTCACACCAGACCAGAAGTACATAAAGACCAATTAGGTGACGCTGCTGGAGGCTCCGCCCATCGGGATTATCAGTCAGTGTCAGGTGACCAGCAGCATCCAGCTGGCCGAGGACTTCAAGCCGCACCTGGTGGATGTGGATCAGAAGAGCGCGGCGCTGTATGTGGCGGAAATCGGGGCCAATCAGGCGCAGTGTGTTTAGATGATGTTCAGAGTCCAGCGTCAGAGAAATCAAACATCCAGCACTAAAGGAAAAGCTGAAACCGGTTTGATTTGAGGTTGAAACTGTGAGCAGCACTAATTAATATTTGTGACCCTGGAGCACCAAAACCAGTCATAAGGGTCAATTTTGTGAAATTGAGATTTATGCATCATCTGATTATATCTCAAGTCCTGATGATTTGAGAAGGCTAAATTGATCAAACATATATCAATTCACTGTCTGCCGCTGGCCGTTATACTTTAAAAAAAAAACGTAGGCGACATATTATCGAACAAAAAATACTCCAAACGTTTTTCTAAATGTACTTTATAAAACAACGAAATGAAATATAATCACTTTTCCATTACATACACAACTGAACTATTTTAACAGCTGAAACAGTAGTATAAGCTGTTTTTGAGAAAAGGGGAAAAGACGGGCTCGGGCCTCTATCTGAGAGCCGTGCAGGGCTCTAATCCACTTCATCCAGCGCTGTTTTGTTCTCATCTGTGAGCATGCTCGTGATATATGTATTTTACCATTTTGTTGAGTTTAAAACGTGTGACACATTCGTTCTGCTCTCACTGATCATCTGGTCCCCCCCCCACCCCCCACAACATGAAAGAAATCCATTATAACATGTACATGAAAATGTAGAAACATTGGACACAACTGTGGGGCACCATTGTGCAGCAGCGAGCATCACAACAAAAAAGGAACTTCAAGGTTGATCTAGGAAAATGTATAGGGCCCCATTCCTATATTTTGCCTGGGGCCCCCAATTCACTAAATCCGCCCCTGATCTTGACCAGACCCAAATCTCACATTTTACAGTTTTTGATGCACGCCGAGAGTTTCTGAGAAGAATTGCATTGATATCCCGCGACGTGCCGTGATTTTATGATGACATTTTCATCATTTTAATCGGAAGTGATTGTTTGATGAGTAGCTGACGGTTGTGGTTTAGTTGTTCGTGATTGTCACGTTATTGAAATCTTATTACTGAAAAGCTTCTGTTTAAATTCACTGAACTGAGATGGGCTTTAACTTGTGTTGATATGGAATAATATTTGAATCAAACGGTCCTGATGTGTATTTCGTGTAAATAAAGACATTTGTTTTTAGGCTCGGGTCGTGCGTATTTATTATTCAGTTTTAAACCGGGTTTTATTTAAGACCAAGTCAAGTCTCCTTTATTTGTATAGTGCTTTATACAATACAGATTGTGTCAAACAGTGCTGATAACGCAGGAGGACTTTCATCAGATGCAGTCGCTTCATCCTCGAGGCGAAGACCAAGTCAAGATAATATAAGGGGAACACTTCAATTTGGTCTCTAAAAGTCTTGTTTTCTTTGAAATTGATGAAACTGAAGTGAGTTCATGATTAAAACAAGAACAAATATCTGTCAGTGGAGTCAGAAAAATCAACTTAATTCAAAGGGAAACAAGTTCTAATTCCCCACTGAAAGATATTTTAGTTTTAATAAGAAACTCACTGCAGTTTCTCAGAAAACAAGACTTCTTGTCTTCATTCAGTAAATGATTCTTGATTTAAGGCTGTTTAGATGTTTGTACCGGAACACAAGACACAAATACTGAAGATAGAGACTCATTTTTAGCAGTTTATGCAACATTTAATGCCATGAATTTCAGACTTTAATATGTGGCGCATTAACGGTCACATGACATGCAGGCAAACAAATAAAATATCTAATCTTGTGAGGAAGTGTTTTATTTTGATTGATGTTATTTTATTATGTATCAATTTGGAAGATTATCCTATTTAAACCATTGTGATAAACGAGTCAGGTCGAAAGTAATCTAAAAGTAATCTGATTACATATGTGTACTGTAACGGATTACTGTGCTGTTCATCTGAAGTGAAAAAGTGATTCTTTTCATAATCAGTGTTGGGGGCAACGCATTACAAGTTACGTAATCAGATTACTTTTTAATTTACAAGAGAATATCTGAGTTACTTTTTCAAATAAGTAATGCAAGTTACTTTTGTTTCCAATTTATTGACTGACAGCTCTGGTGTCGCCATGGTGACAGAAATCAGAAGATGTTACTGTAGCTCTAAAATAAATATGAATATGCATTAATTCATCTCACTCACACACAAACAAAACACAGCTTCAGTATTCCTCAAAATGAATAAAAATAACGCAACTCAGAATATGACGCAAACCTGCAATAATTAAATGTTAAACAACACAAATATGCTTTATGTATTTAATCCCATTCTATTAGCTTCTGAGCTTCGATGATGCAGTTCAAGCGTACTAATAATCACAAATTACTCTAGACGAACATCTGTGTGTCTTTGTTTATTCCTGAAGTGTTGAAATGTCTTCTTCTGCGTTCTACTGTACTTTCCCTTCAGCCTGAGGCACATTCATTTCACTTTTGGTGTGAAAGGCTTTTATATTTGCCACAAATATAACTTTTTATTTTAAAAACAAACAAGCAAGCCCTGTCCGGATTTAAAAAGTAACGTAAAAGTAACCTAACGCATTACTTTCCATAAAAGTAACTAAGTAACGTAATTAGTATCTTTTTTAATGGAGTAAGGCAACATTGTAACGCATTACTTTAAAAAGTAACTTTAACACTGTGTACGTAGTTTATGAGAGGCTTTTTGTTTGGGTTCTTTCACGTCCGACAGTCATTTTGATATAATTTGGAAATTCTACATTTAACGTTACTCAACATATGAAGTCGTTTTCACGTTATCAGACCGTTTTTGTATTATTTTATATTTATTGACGTTGTTGATGATGTATTTTTATGTTTACCTATTTATTTAAATTACGTCATGCTAACACATTACTTTCCATAAAAGTAACTAAGTAACGTAATTAGTATCTTTTTTAATGGAGTAACGCAACATTGTAACGCATTACTTTAAAAAGTAACTTTAACACTGTGTACGTAGTTTATGAGAGGCTTTTTGTTTGGGTTCTTTCACGTCCGACAGTCATTTTGATATAATTTGGAAATTCTACATTTAACGTTACTCAACATATGAAGTCGTTTTCACGTTATCAGACCGTTTTTGTATTATTTTATATTTATTGACGTTGTTGATGATGTATTTTTATGTTTACCTATTTATTTAAATTACGTCATGCAATTTAGAATCAGTAACGGATTACAATTAGTAAGTAATTTACATATCCAGCGCTAAATTGGACGGAAATGCACAACACGCAGCGCACAAAAGAATGTAAACAATGGGCGTCTTCTGAGAGCTGCCCGACACAGTGCCTGATCGCATTCAGACGTGTTCTGCTGTTTATTTTGTGCCGAGCAACTTTACTTAAATTCGCGTTAAACTGTGTTGGAAGCTATTAGCGTGAGAGGTTCAGTTTGGGTGTTTTCTGTCGTTGTGTCGGGCTTTTCCCGCAGGCAGCTGCGAGCGCGGGCGTCGGAGAAACATGGCGGAGCTGAACGGCGGTGCAGAACTGAAGGTAAGCGCCGAATTAAACACACGGCCGACATTATAAATGACACACCGGGGTGTGTACCGGTGATAAGCGCTGTTTCACACACACATTCAGCTCGGCTGTGAGCGCCGCGGGTCCAGTCTGTGTTCGCGTGTGTTTGAGTGAAACTCCAGACAAGCTAACGGCTAAAGCTAACCCTCACAGCACACTGACAGCAAAAACAGTCTATTAAACGACTGCTTCTGGTGATATTCAGCACTCATTCACATCAGATCGGAATAAACGCACAGCTCATCAGTTATTAGCTCGTTAAACTGTCAGAATGAAGCGGCTCTGTGTCAGTCAAAACAGTGAGCTCATGTTTTATGCAGGAGGGGGCGGGGCGAGCGGGCTTTGATGTTCAAATATGGGCGGGTGTATGTTAATATACTCGCGTGACGTCACATATATGTTGTTTTCATAAATGGTCTGAGGAGGCGTGTCCGTTCTGCTTGTTAATTTCAAAAGAGGTGATCTGAAGCTTTTCAAATCTTTGGTGGTGTTCATCTTACATGTTTTCCTCTGAAGGATTTCTTGAAGCTCATTGGCTCTTAGAGATCCGGAGAGAGTTTGCAGCATCAGCCGCGTCTGCCAGAGGTGAGTGTGTTTAAAATAATAGTTCAGAGAAAAATTAACATTTGCTGAAATGTGTTTCTCCACAGGTCACCTGAGATCAGGAGACAAAAGCTGAAACACATCCAGCATTAAGACGTTTTTAACCATAATAACCATAATAAGTCCATAATAACACTTCCTCCAGTAAGTCAGTGTTCTGGTGTGAATCAGGAGAGAAATCTGCACAGATCAAGCAGTGTTTAAACAGCTCTAAACACATATGTGGCTG